ACTTTCGTTCTTACTGTCCACACACGTCGCATCTTTATTAAAATACTTTCTTCACTTCCGTAGGCACGCAAATGTGATATAAAAACAGAATTTATCAATTAAAAAATCTTTTATGGATATTAATCACTTTCAAACTGATGCACAGGACATCACGACAATAGCTTGATGTCTTTCTTCGCATATTTTTTGCACGCGACTCAATTAGCCACACACGAACTTTTGTTTTTTCTTCGAGATTCATTTGCTTCAATTTGTGAATAAGAAGACACACATAACGATGAGTTCGACTCAAACTATATTAGAACAAGCACTTTATCAAATGACAAAAGGCTTTGTTCCATTCCTTTTACTTCTACTAGGAGCATTTGGATCATTAGGAAATATCATTACATTTACATCACGTTCGTTGAGAAATAATTCTTGCGCATTTTACTTTCTTTCAACAGCCACATTCGAACTATTGACTGTTTCTTTTGGTCTCATATCTCGTATTGCTGATCAATTTGGCAGTCTTCTTCAAAGTCAAAGTCGAATATATTGTAAAGTTCGATATTATTTTGCTTTACTCTTTCCAACAGTCGCTACTTATCTGTTACTAATGGTGACTATTGATCGATGCTTGTCAACATCGGCAAATCCTCGATATCGTTCAGTGAGTCAAATCAAAGTAGCCTATCGAATGGTTCCATTTGTCATTATATTATGTATGATTGCCTGTTCACATACACTTGTATTTGTTGATCACCGTCCTTCATGTTTACCAGAGCCAGGTCCTTATTCATTGTTTTATAGTATATATTTAATAAGTTTCTCAAGTGTTTTGCCGAATCTTCTTTTGTTAGTATTTGGATTTTGGACAATTAGCAATATAAGAAAAGCACGATATCGGACTGCTCCATCTGTTGCGATTATTGAACAACAGCAACGAAATAGACAAAATGTGGAAGCTCAATTCATTGCCGTATGTTTATGTTTTAGTATGAAACGTATTGTTATTGGTTTGATTTTAGATGGTAGTTTCACAAGGAATTGTTTCATGTATAATTGATCTTACACGTATGTCATGTTATGCATATTATTTGTTAACTGCAAATCAATTAAAAAGTTCTTATCAACAAATCGTGGATACATTCATATTTCAATTTAGTATTGTTCTATCTTATTTCAATTATTCAGAGTCATTTTATACAAATACATTAACAAGTAAACTTTTTCGTAAAGTATTTCGTAAAACGATCTATTTTTATTGTCGAAGATTGTGTCGGTTTTAGATAGACATACAAGTATAACTGGTAGTTAGGACATAAATAAACTCTCTTGAATAAAAACGGACGAACTTAACGAAAAGATTTTATTTGATTTAGTGCACTGTATGCCACCATCATCTTTTGACTATGCGATCCAACGCGAGTATTGAATGAAAAATTGATTTTGAAGAAAGTAGTGGATTCAGAAGGAGAAAAGCACGAAGTTATTAAATGATTCGTTAGTCATGTCTTTGTTTGATTCTGATTCGGAAAGTCGATTGGTATGCTTGAATGATTATTAAATTTGAGAATGTCTTAGAAAGAATCGGCTTCTTAGTGTTTTTATGATACTTCTATCATTATTCGATTGTTAACATATATGACATATATCTCAAAATAAAAGATGTAGCTTATAAACAACCGAAAACTTTTAAAGACACTTCTCAAAAGCATTCTTTATCATCATCTTTTTTATTGCCTTGAAATTCACCATTCTGAAAAAACAGCGTTGTATTGTGTCATTTTGCACGACCTGAATTTTTCACAAAATCCTGCACTATATTTCCATTGTAACCCTTTGGTTACGGTTTTTTTTGCAGATGCATCTTTTATTTTTCGTTCTGAAATAGTTTATAATGAGTTTCAATAGCACAGGAAAGTGCTCAAAAGTGTTTTAAGGTATGATAATCTCCAAAACAACCTATCACANCCAGCACTACTCCTGTTTGACAGTCGCAAATCAAGAACACTTTTATGCCCAATCGACACTGTTTACTTGGTATATACTGATTGAATCCCAATCGTTCTTTCCAAAGAATGAGCGATTCATCGTTGAAATGTAAGTATTTCAAAAGCAACAGAAATCTGTCTCTAGAAAATAATTGACCAAACATAGGTATAATAATCATTGGATCAGTCGACCAGTAATCAAGAATATTATTTTTTTCGTTAGAGATATAAGCATAATTGTAGCGAAGAAAGTATATATTTCAGAGCGATCTGCTTCCATCCATTTTGCTTGATGGGAACATGTTGAGGATGTAGAATTTTTGTTAGAAAAAACCTGTTACTTGTTGGTTTATTCTACAATTAGATCAATCATTGTTTCATTAAACAAGAATTGAAAAACATCAAGAGGCGCAGCATCCCTCATAGCATCTATGTCCGGTGAAAGACCAGTATTTATTTCATCAAAGGAGAAGAGATGTGACTTGAATGCAGTTTTCTTCCAAATTCAATTAGTAGATTGTTGTTTCAATAATCCTATTTCATCATTCGATTCGCTACTGTCCACATCTGATGAATAAACTGAATCAATTTCCATAGTAAAATCGCTTTCAGATTCGCTACCCATTTGAATTTCATGTGGATCGTTAGCTGTGCACGTTGCCATAGCCAGAGAAAATTCTTTTGTAATGGATGTCAATGATCAACTGTTTGCATGAAATGTTATGTCGAATAATGAGAATTTCGATTTTGTGGGAATATACGGTATATCCAAAGATACAAGATGTTTCAAGTATGGAATCGAAACTTTATTTATATGGGAGCGTTTTGTGAAAGATAAATGAAAAAGGATACGTTTGAATTTACTAGAACGTGTTAGAATGTCAAACGTCGGCGTGTGAGAACGCAAAATGACGCAATTCTTTTGTTAGTATAAAAAAAAGATACAGTAGTTCTTTTGATAAAGTCCAAACGACGTTATATCGAAGACAATACTTACAAAAGTTCAATGCTTATATATAGGTCACCCGTAACCAAAGGGTTAAACTTCCACCACATTCTATACGAAAAAACGGCTCTCCAACCAAAAAGCAAACGATCTTTAATGCTACGTAGTTTCTTCCTATTCATGATGCTGTTGATCGCTGTTTTTGTTTCTATTTTTGAAGATCCTAGCTGTATTCACGTACACATAAAAAAACCAAGTCGAACGAGAATACAATACGACTCTTGATGTGGTTGTTCCTTTTCTCGTACGCGTACATCACACGTCACCGACATCGACAAATATCAAGCAGTTTTCTCAGCAACTTGCTATGTATCTACTATGTGAACGGTACATGTCTACAATGTCTTATGTTGAATGAGAGAGTAATCCACTGTGGTCGGCCTTCGACAAAGTTGAATTCGCTTATTCATACTTCGTTCCGAAACCACATAAGGTAATTTGTGAATATCTTCACATGGCCACCAACTATCGTTTTATTTCTGTTTGTAGGAAGGAACTCCACTACGACCGATTGTGTCATCAATGAATATGCCAACGACTGACATTTATAAATTTCTTGGTCGATTACTTCAACCGTTATTTGATTAACCTGTTCGTTCAACTATCGACGGTATTGATCTCATTTGTCGTCTCGAAACATATGCGACAAACGGCTATCTGAAACCAGCAACTCATCTGTGCACATTCGATATCACAGATTTATACACAATGTTACCACAGGAAGAATCTGTCAATATCCTGACCAAATTGCTCATGGAACACGGGTACCGAAAAGTGAAAGGCGTAGTAATTGATGCCATTCAAAAAGTGTATTCATCTACGAGAAGAAATTCTATCGACAAGTCGTTGGTGGTGCAATGGGATCTACATTCGCATCTACAAACGAAATCTGTAGTCGGTAAGTTTTACCTTTCAATTTGAACATCACATTACCTCCTTGCTTGTTTCACTTTTCTTTACAGTAGATATATCGATGACGTCTTTTTCACTTCGAATGACGCATTAGGCAAATTTAATAAAATGTTAGATACGGCTAATAATCTGCACCCGAACATCAAACTGGTGCGCAACATTGGATGCGATGTGTCATTTTGGGATGTTCATATCGAAAACAAGAATGGCATCTTGACAACATCAGCTCATAATAAGGAAGCAGCTGAACCATATGTGGTACCGTTAACATCTGATCATTCGAAACATGTATTCGGAAATATCATTCATACTGCTCTTTTACGAGCTGTTCAATACTCCTCAACATTATCAGTATTTGAACACGAGCAACGGTTCATCAAATTGATGCTATTGTAAAACGAGTGAGTTACATATACTACAGGTCGAGACAAACTATCTTTGTATTCGTAACCTTAGGTATCCTACTCGATTTATTCACGCACAATTCAATAAATTCGTCAATCAAAATAAAACGGATCAAATTGTAGTCAACATTTATGATAGTGAAAAAGACTTCATCAAGAGACGGCATGAATTATTGAATAAACCAACTATTCAAGAAATTGCCATACAATCTACAAGTGAATTCACGGTTCAGTTCTAGAAAACAGATCCATAGAAATGGAATTCAAACGTGATTATCCACTACTCATACGAAAATCGGCTGTCAACCTACAAAAGAGATGTTCATCAACTATGAAATCAACACTTTCGTCAAACTCCAGCGATCAGCACGCGTCCCGTCATAGGAACCAAGAACAATCCCAATTTCACGGAACGACGTGTACAACGCCAGTCAAATAATCGACAACGAGAACGGAACAATAAAAAATGATAAATAAATAGTTTGCTGATTTGCTTGTTATCGATTTCTTTTTCTTTTTTTCAAAAAACTATCGAACCACTACCGTTTGCAGGTTACATTGAAATAGTGCTCCGATAAAACAACTTTTACTTTGTTTTATTTCATTAGGACCGGCACAGAAAAGTCGCACTTCCACTCATCGACACTGACGGGATACTTGGATAACAACTGGATACAGGGGATTTAGGCAATTTTGAAAGTGAGCAATAAGCATGATGGTTTCAAAATACCTTAAGCAGATAATCGTTAACGATGACTGAGAGAGGATGCAAACGCGCCTAGCTTCATTTACAGCGTGTTAGATGAAAAAACGAAAGAACTGAAGACATCCTTCTGCGTTGATTTTGTGATCATTCACTAATTGTGTATCCACTTAGGTTATATATCCATCGAAATTCTTGACAAGCTCCTCTAGTTACTTCATTGGTCATGGTGTCTGCGTCAATCTTAACTATGAAGATCAACAAATTCTTAATGAGATGCAGCGACAAATATTTTTCGACAGCGATTTGAATTATGAACGTCTCATGTTTCTCTCAAGCAATTGCACAGCCATTGAATACAAACTAATTGAGACGGTATTCGATTGGGCTAATCAATTAAATCCGCCACCAGATGTTCGTGAAAGGTTACTTTGTCATCTACACGAATTTAGCATGGATTTCACTCCTGCCGATATCTACATTGATGATGACAATAACAATCGTCTTCGTCTCGACTCTCATTCTGATGAAGAATCACTCGTTGACTATCCAAATGGTGACATCAATTCGAGTATGGCATCGGTGTTGGGAAGCGTACAGTTGTTCGTATGGACATTCGCGCGTGAACAGTTGCGCGCAGAGTAATCTGTTAGCAGAATTATGGTGGAAATAATGGAATCAAGATTAGTTAAGTAAATCAGAAAGATTTGGACTAGATTCAGTGAAAATATGATTTTTAAAAGTTTCATATGTCGGCGATAATGATTTGGTAACATAAATGATTTGAAAGTTGCACTGCTCGAGTACGACTGTAAAGTGTGGGTGATCCGTTGATAGACATGTTCTTCCACAGTTCGATGCACAAATGGGCACGCTAAAATAGTGACTATGACCAATATAGATATGCCTGTGCTCTGGGTAAAATTCAGTCTATCAGTATAGCTTCAGTGAGCTTAATACTATTAGAGTCACTGGTACCGCAGGTTTAGTGAGACAATATCAGCTCCATCGTCTACCCACGCTACGCGTAACAAGTATTAATCCTTTACCTCCGACTAGTGGCGTAACCAGGATTCAATGGATGGTTGGGCGCCGCCCTAAAGATTTTTCACGTTTTTTTTATATAGCATATGATATTCTTTTCTCGTAGAATAAACATACAATATGTATTTACAACGCGAAAAAGCTCTCGGTACCATCTCTGGTGGAATTCAAAATGTGAAACACAATTCATTTGGTCTGCTCGTTGTGATACAGTTTCATAGTTAGTCTACTTGCCTCTCGATCACTTGTACGAAGGATCGGATGAGTTTGGGGTTTGCCAGGGTGACATTGTTTTGCCCAAACACTGAAGCCCTTTCNCGTCGCTCATGCTCTTACTCTTACCTATGGGCCATATCAATTTGTGAAGTAAATTGAGTTTTACGCTGTGAAATAGCAGTAATCCGACTTTGGACTAGTCCAATGTGGAATTCCACTTTGGCCTAGGCGGATCTCAGATTGGCCTGAATCTCACATTGGACGCCAACATATATATATATATATATATATATATTTCTGAATCATTCATACGTTGCGGCGTCTTTTACAATAATTTCTTTGCAACAGGTAAGAGTGTGACGTCAATGTTTTGAAAAGTTTGATTATTGTGCACTTCATTGTCGCTAAGCATTGTCATTTTATTTTCGTAGCTGTTGCACTATTTCACGGTTCAAGAAACGTAATGAATACTGATAAAGATAACGTTTGTTTCTTCCCAGAAAAAGTTCCGCAGGTTAACATGCAGTTGGATGTACTTTCATTTTACCCAGCTGTTGCACATTATTTAGGTCGTTTGTAATAGAGAATATATCAGTTTCGAAAATCTGCTCAATCGGTCTAAGAAAACGCCGAGTAATTGCCGATCTGAACTCGAACATATTCTACTTTTAGCTGGTTGTTATGATATGCAACCGATTAATTTACATAATCATATGATTTGTAGCAATCATCGAAACTCATTCTTAGATTTGTGGCGACGAAAGAACAATTGCTTACTATGTGTAGATGTTTTCGGACAGTCAACACGTTCAATTTCTTCTCTTCAACGCATAACAAAAGCATTAGCAATAGCAGCATGGAATAAACGACAATTGAATATGTTAGTTTGTGAGAATTTCATTGATATCAGAAGATTTTTTCGCTCTCTAGATACTATAAATTGGCTTGCACTCAGTGCAGAAAGCTTTGTGAAAAGGAATTCGGTAGCGCAAATGAAACAAATTGCTTTGGATGGATTTATGATGAAAGAAATTATTATACTCCATCGATTGTTCCAGATCGTTTTTCTCCACAGAATAGTGACTATGAACCTGGAGTCGATGATATTTCGCCGCATGACGAAGAAGATGGAAAAAAAGAACTCAGAGGTTGGCTTGCGTCAACAAACTATCGAGGACGCTGGAGGTCGACCGCAAATTATTCATGCCTTAGTAAACATGAGCGGGGGAAGTTTCGTAAGCAAATGAAAGGAATCTTTCTTCATGTTCTACAACAGTTTACTTCCACCGATGCAAACGTTGTTTGGGATGACCTAATTGATGATGAACTTGCAAAACCAAAAACAGCGAAAGGCGTGTATGTTATTATATCTACTACGACATTTTTGTCAAAATACACATAAACTACGGTATTGGATTTATGTCGCTTTTCAGAGATTACACAACTGTAATGGAATCGTTGAAAGATGCTTATTCTAAAGCAGAACATTGGAGTACTAAAAGACAATTATTGTCAATTGTCGCTGCTGATCTACCACCACGTTTGCTCAAAGCTGAATTTCCGGAGTTGACAGATTGGAAAATAAAAGCTGCGCGCGCTCAAGCTTTTTTTCACGGTAACTCACAGAAGATTTGTATTGATGTAGCATATATGAGCGATATTGTTATTCTCGATGTAGGACGAGGTGTACTCCCTGAAATTATGCACTGTCCTGTTCAACGATATACAGAAAAACAGTTGTCTCATTTAATTACATTTATCCAGTCGCCCCATATAACAACAGATATGCCTTTTGGTGAACGCAAATTGAAACTAAGTAATGGTGAAAGTGTCGTCGTGCCCGATGTGATTCGTAACATAAGTCCATCTCGTATTATATCTCAATACTTTGAATACTGCAAGGAAACAATCGATAATGATGAATTTCAGCCACTTGGTGCATCATCTTTGTTTGCAATTTTGAGAAAATGCAGTGCTTCTATACGAAAAAGCTTGGTCGGTTTGGATACTTTCTCGTGCGATGGCTCGACAGCCTTTGATCAGCTGCAAAATTTGTGCGATGAAATGGCTCTCTATGGTGCATATCGAGCGAAAGACTTTGTTCACTTACACATCTTGTCATTTCTATTTTCTATAGGTGCACAAGCAGAAACAGTGATTCGTCTGAAACAAGCATTACATGATGCACGTAATTATCTGAAGTTGGATTATCGAACGCATATATCAAAGAGTAGTAGAGTTCCGGACCATTGTTCGATATTTGGCCTGAGTGATGCGCAAAATTCAGCCTGGCGTGAAAAATGTGATCACGAACATGATGAAGAGTATAGACAATGCAAATAAACTTGTGTATTTTTGTTTCTTATCTGCTTTAGATGTGATGCCTGTTTACGTTTGCGCGAGGCCTTTGATCATATTTCTTCGATAATTGAGGAGAATTTGAATATCACTGATGACATGCGAGCTCGATTACGATATCGACTAGAACAAAATGTTCAACTGATTATTGATTGGAAAAAACACCTGTTACGTACGGTTCATCAGGATGGAGGACATAAGCACGTACTTGATGAACTTGATGAAACAAGCGTCTTCCTCGTTGCCGACAAGATATCGAGAGGCACAGAGAGATTTTTTCGGCAAACGTGGGCTGCCTTGGCATATAACATATGCTATTCGTGTCAAACCAGGATCATTTTCCACCTGTACTACACCATCCGCTGCTTCACACTCATCAAGTAACAATCGTTCCTTGGAGCACAGAACATTCTGTCATGTATTTGACAATGCCAAACAAGATGGTCGTGCCGTTATCAGTATTTTATCCAATGTAATCATAATTTTTGATGAATTACGGACTTCAGATACTGCTAAATGTTGAAACATACATATAATTCTCGCTCTAAGTCATATATTGTTCTTTTTGTGTCTCTAATTGAAACATCATAAATTGCATGATATAAAACATACTGTTGATATGATTTACTTGCATGAAGTTTCTCATTAACTCAGCTATGCCATAAACTAATAAATTTGTGTCGTTCAGGTCCTCCAGGAACTAAAGAAGCAAAACAGCAATCTCACTTATGCATACATTCGCACAGACAACGCTGGATGTTATAAAGGATCAGATACTCTTCTTGCCGTACAAGAGCTCTATAAAATTACGGGTGTTTTGGTTCGCCGTTTTGATTTTTCTAATGCGCAGTCTGGCAAGGGGCCCTGTGACCGCATGGCGGCGGTCATAAAAGCAAACATCCGTCGATTCATCAATGAGAAAAATGATTGTGTCTCTAGTTCAGATTTTGTTCGGGCAGCAAAGTCGACACGTCACATGTCTCTTATGTCATGTCGTATGCCAAGTTCTTCTGTTTCGAATAAAACTAGATGGCATGGAATTCAAAACTATAATAATATTGAATATAAACTGGTATCAAAACGAGAGTTACGTCGACAAAAAATAGAAAACAAAGAGATCGAGGTGACGGTCTGGCGAGCATTCAACGTAGGAGTTGGTCAATTATTTCAATGGTCAAAACTAAATACATCAAGATACAATATCGCTCCTATTGAGATTAGTCTTCGACATGATAACTATCAATGGCAGGATGATAGTTTCGAGAGAGGTAATTATCATTGATCCCTGATGATTGTTTATAAGTTCGATAACATTGTTTCGTCATCTTTTGATTTAGAAGGTTCAGAAAATATTGACACAGATGATGTTTTGTTCAAACAAGAAGTAGTAGAAAATGGTGATAATATCAATATGGATCAACATTCGTCTTCCTTTGTGACTTTTGATTGTACTGAACCGCATTGTATCATGCAATTTCGTCGTGAAGATCGTCTTCGTGCACATCTCCTAATTGGTAATCACAAAACCGTGGCTCCTCCTGTGCGGCTTCTTGATAAAGCAGCGGTTATTTATAAGGAATCTCTAGAGAATGATAACATAAAGGAAATACCAATTCTTACTTCAATCAACACAGTTGTAGCAAATCCAAGAATTTCTACAGTCACTCTGAAAGAAGGGTGGGCACTTTTCCATCCTCGGCCCAAAGTCACATTCACACTGGTTCAGCGATCGTATCTGATTGAAAAATACGATGAAGGTGAGAAGACTGGTGCAAAGTGCGATCCTTCCAAATTAGCAGAAGTATATTTACTTTGAGTTTGATGTATTCCTGATCTGATACATTTTTTTGACTGTATAGCAAATGCAAACCGCCAGGATAAAAGATGAATTTATGTTTCAACCTGATCAGTTTCTAACTACTTCCCAAATCAAGTGAGCAATAGTTTTCAAAATGTTCTTGTTCGTTTTGTTTCCTTCATATAACAGGTCTTATTTTTCTCGACTAACACGCGAACGTCGAAAGAATACGAAAGAATCTCAAACGACGATGAAACAATGCAAAAAGTCGGCAAAGGACGATGAGGATTATCAATCAGAAGAAGACAGCGATGATGGTGATGAATTTGAATCGGTTCTAGCTGATGCTCAAACTCATGAATTACTCGATAATGCAATAGAGGTTCTTGATGATATATTGATGAAACAACAACGAAATCAGAAAAAGTCAATATCATATTCTTATACACACGGATAGGGGTGTCCTCATAATAACTTATAAGGGCATTCTTATACTGATTGAACAACATAATCGATTCATTGATAGTATTATCATAGTTGCTTGTCATTTGTCTTCACTGAATTTTCTTGAGTTTTGGCTTTATCTTTCAGCTGAAGTACGCCAAAAATCCTACCTGCTTGTTTTTTTTCTTCATTATAAGTGCTTATCATAAATATTCATTCCATTGAAATCTTCTTCTAGTTCAAAAAAATAAGCCAAATAACAGGCGAATATGCCAACAACTGCAGTATTCGCACTGTAACCATATGAAATTGAATACAGATTTTATTGAATATAAATTACATGATAAGGCAAAAGATATTCATAATTGCTGTCAATCTATACGAGTTTTTTTGACAATTCAAAACTACATTTTTTTTCTCTCTAATTAGCAACTCGAGTTTTGATTTCCACGAGAATTTTAGTGTTATAATCAAAGGATTGATGTTGAGGAAAATATCTTGAGCTAAGCAGTCTTTTTCCTTTCAATTGTCATATTGACAGAGGATTGATTAACTAACAGATCGATTGTTTCTTTCAGAATGAATAAATCTTTCATCGAGCAATAAAGAAACTCATAAAAACCATATAATATGAACAAAAAGTGTATATATTCATGTGAGCATGTCAAAACTCGATGTATGATAAGCAGTAGTATTTTGCATTTTTGGAGACTTTGCTAGTACTTTCAAGCAAATATTTTTTTACCAAAAGATGCGCCTTTCAAAGTTCTACAAGAATATGTAAAGCTTACTCTAGGCATTTGAAAAAAAAGTAGACATTATAAGCAAAAATAAAAAAACTCCATGCAAAAACTTGCATTTTTTGCAAAACCTTATTTTTCGTGAAAAACGCTTTTGCTAAAAAACCACCGAAGACTTTGCTCAAAGTCGAAAAAATTTGGCTTTAGAGGTAACTTTAGATGCTCTTTCGAGTTAGCCTACTCATTTAAAAAAATTAAATTTCGACGGCACCAAGTCTATGATGTTTTGGGTGGTGTACTCATGGACTCTCTCTTAAATACTTCGCTAAAAATACATCGCAAAGCATTTTCAAGTGGCGTTAATAGCAATAAATCAGACTGGTTGACATTCGTCATCGCAGATAAAGGAGGTGTGGGTAGAAGTTTTCGATCTATTTTTCCATTTTGACTAAAAGGTAATTGTTCGAGTATAACAAATACTGATGGAATCATATGGGGTGGCAAACGTGATTGGCAATATTCACGTAATTGATTCTCATCAATATTAGAACTTTGAATGTAAGCAACTAAACAAGTATCATGCAATATAAATACAACACATGCAGAGACAAGCGTGTGTTCAAATAGACATTGTTCGATTTCATTAAGATCAATATAATGCCCATGTAGTTTACTTTGATGATCTTGATTTCTTCTATAATAAAGAAGACCTTTATTATCCATTCGAACAAGATCACCTGTTCGAAAGAATAATTCGTGATCGATATCAACAAATACTCTTGTTGTCAAGTCATTGTGTCCAAGATAAGCAGCGGAGGTACCTGCACCTCGTACAAATAATTCGCCTATTTGTCCGGTTGTCACTGATTGTAAGAATTCGTCAAGAATGATGCACTTATAATTACAAAGTGGATATCCAATCGGAAGAATAGCTTTTTTATCATTTATATCGATAAAATGATATGTGAAGTCAATCGCTGTTTCTGTTGAACCATATGAATTCCACATATTGACGTCCTTGCACAAATTATTGTATAATTTCTCAATTGACGGAATTGTATTAATATTATCTAGCAAAAATATATTAGAAACTTCTAAAACTTTTTATAAAACATCATACTTCTAATATTTATCTTTCGCAGCGTATTAAACTTTAGACAATCATATTTTAGTAGAAATTCTAACATATAATTGAGATATTCTGGAGCAGTTTGCATATAGGAAACTTGTTTTTGTTGTAATACGGTTGAAATATATATAATATCTTTATCACCTTGTGGATGTAGCATTATAACAGCAGATCCAACTAAAAGTGCACCTAAGATTTCTGGTATATGTGTGTTGTTAGAAGTACATGACATTTGTATGATTGTATCTTTATTTGTAAGCATATTCATATGAGTAAGAGAATGAATATGTGTAATAAAATTA